AAGACTTGGGCATGTCCAAGGCGATTCTCCGTTTCATCGCACTTGCTTCGCTGGAGCAGCTCGATTGTCTCGATCGCCAGGTTCTTGGGATAGAAGTAAAAATTGCTGTAACATCTAAAGATACCATGACCTCAAATGGACGGAGACTTACTCCTTAGAGTTACTCCAGGAATTTTGCTGACGAAGACACCGTGGTGTCTGACACAGCAGTCAGGAACTTGAGACGCCGGAACAGCCACTTAGCCAGTACGTACTTCGGAGTACCTTTGAGCGACACAATGGGTCGGAGAGGTGCGGCCTATTTGTGCACCTTAGAGCGGCCATAGGATCGAAATATGGGAGTAATATTCTAGGACAGTAATCGTGTAACTTGGGAATAAAGGACGATGTAAAATAGAGAAGGACGCTACATGCACTACAGTGTCATCCGGTCTGCAGTGGTCGCCTTTTCCACCACGCAGTTATGTTTCCCATGACACCTCTGACACTTACACTTCCCTTCCCCTTCTAAATGTTTTCCATATCTTTTAGGCAGAGTTGACTGAAAAAAACACTGAATACTAGAATCACGGCGCACTGTGATCGCTTTACCCGAATAGCGGTCAGTCTTGTAGTGCAAACACCTTTCCTTCCTCTCGGATAATAAGGTCAATGAAGTTTAACTGTTGTCCTTCCATAGCCCGTATTTCAAAGATAACACACTGGCAGGGATTTTTGTCCGCTGCCCGCCGTAGTTATTGGCGACCGACGTTATCTGGCAGGTTCAGTGCGGTCCACTTTCCCCAGTTGTTATGACCCGACAGGTCAGTGGAACAGAAAGCGAGGCGGTTCGGAAAACAAACATCTTATTAAGAGCCTGCAAACAAGGGGTCCATCTCTTATCCAAACTCGTATTTTGTACTTGGTCCTTCGAGCGTTCAGGAATACTCGGACCCGTCGCGTGTCAAATCGTGACGATCGTCCTAAAAGCATCTGACCTGTCCCTTGGTGGTCTTTGATTGGTCGGTTCATGGGTGAGAATATCTTGTGAGGAAATATCGAATATTCGAGCAGCCGCACGCATGAGTAGAAGCATCACGCCTGCTGGATGCTGCAGCATATCCTAACCGCCTGTCCGAGTAAAGATGCTAAGTCCGACTTGGCCTGAAACACGACGAGTGGTTCCGCCGTCGTTTCACCATAGGCTGTGACTCTTCACCGTTTCCACTGTATACAACATCTCCTGTTTTTTAAAAGCTGGCCTTCTACCTGTTCTTCTTCTTCTTCTTCTTCAGATCCTCATGGTCCACAAACGGTCCCTGCACTGCTCAAAAGTAGCTAATTCATCGATGTTATTCGTGTGCTTTGTGAAGCTAATTTCGTTGCCTCCGATGGAGACTGCTTTGCTAGTGTATCTCTAACGTTTTTGCTGCAGTATTTGGAATTGGCTATTTACGCGTGGATTCCTTCGACCACTAAAGGTCCCAGCGTCCTCGAAGAAGTTTGAAGGCGTTCAACGTAGCCCGCTAGTAGACAGGAGTTACTACCAAACGAGGCACGTTTATCTGATCTTCAAGTCTTTTCTCTGAATCACGGACATTTAAGAGGCGACCCGATGCCAAACACCAGGCATAGTGAGCGGTCAGAACTGCTGCTCTGTATCTGGGGTCTTCTTCGAGTTAACAGCTACAAGGAGCCTGTGAGATCACTCAGTCAACTGCATGTGACCAGCTCCAGGCTGAACACATGGAAGTTCTTTTTCTCCAACGGAGTGGTTGATGCTTGGATATCGTCTAAATACATAACTATTTCTGCGTCCTCTGTGGCTTAAAAGAGGAAAGTATAACAGTATATCATTATACATCATAATGCCGCCGGCCGGTATCGTTCTTACGATCTTCGCCAACACGATACTACTGCCAATATTTCAGCAGCGTTTTTTTTACATTTCGTCATTATTTGAAAGACACTGCACACGCATAGTGACATTCGCTTTCGTCTCCGTAGATAACTGAGATCGTATTCCTTTTTCTATGGCACAACAGTGCACAGACAGACTGCCGTACAACGTTCTTAGGAACGCCAGTGTTTTTACTACTTGGAATAACACGTTTATTTGTACAGTATGAGTACGAAACCCCGCCGCTCTTCGTTGGATACTGCAAATGCTTTTGAGGCTGCCTGTTGGCCGTAACGCGTGCTGTCATCCCGTCGTAGAATCGATGCACCATTTGCGTGCATTGCTCAGGGCAACCGAATTCCCGCTTGAATTTCCACAGTACATCGAGATTTGCCGAGCCGACAGCTCTCATCAGGTTCACATCGGTAGTGTGGACGTGGGTCCGCACTTACCAACATTCCTTTTAAGCTGTCGAACACCATTTTGGTGGTTCCGCTGCGGCGATGGAGGTCCCGCTGACTTTCCGGCAGAAGCCCCTGTTCGAGATGGCCTTTGAAACGAATGAGGATCTTCCAGGAGATATTGAGCAGCGGGGTTCCCTTGTGGTTACCATAGAGTTGCAGATTCCCTTTATACTCGTAAAAGTGGCCGATTGTTGCTTCGCTGTGGCCACATCTCCTGGGATTGCGTCGTGAGTCGATCCATCCTCAAGGACCGCTGTGCTTGGGAATTTCAGCGGGGATCGCGACTGATTTCAATGCTTCCCTACTGGAGAGTTGGTGCACAATTCAGTGTTTCGCTGGACGACTGCAAAGAACCTAGGCTGTTGTTTTTCCAACTCGTAGGAACCTATCGGTGATGGTGTCGGAGATTTTAGATGAGCGACGGACGACACTTCTGAAGTGCCCTGCCCATCGTTTCAGAATCTGCGACCTCCCCGTCTGAAACGCACTTTCATAGGAAGTGAACAGTGGTCCTGCCCCTTCATTTGACGAACCATAGACTGCCTTGATGGGGGCCAAATACTTCTTTTTTTCATTGCAGTCAGCGCTCCCCTAGATTTTCTCGGCATCCCGTGGCTGCCTTATTCGCTGCTGCACGAGACGGAAATAGCGCAAGAAGGCCACCTCATTGACGTCGGGCCGATGGTTCATGTAGGTATTGTACAACCTGTGCTGTTCGGCGAAATTATTGTTGGTGTCTGCGCCGTTGTCATCGAATTAGTTCTTGTGTTGACGACATGCGCGTTTGAAACCGTCCAAAACAGCTGGATGCATAGCATTCTGCGATTCACACTACCGATCGCCCACGGTGGCGTTGTCGTCCGGAGCCGGCAGTTCTCTCATATGTTGGGCTACATGATTGTTGAAGTGTGAGCGGTGGACAAACAAACTCGACAGGATTGTATTGTACCAACTTGATAGTCGCCTACATTGTGAACTCCTGCGAGGTCTAAGTTACATCCTGACCTTGGAGATGGCGAGACATTGGTCTGTTCAACTGTCGGTGTCGCACAAAACCTTGGTCGCCAGCACGACGAGTCTCGCCTCCGGAGTAGAACGTAGTCCAACAGCTCTTACCACGGCCATCGGAGGTGCATCCAGTTCGCCTTCTTTCGCGTCAGTGGGCAAAAGGAGGTGTTGGTCCGGAGGAGGCGGTGTTCTAGCAGGTTGGCAGGAGAAGAGGACCGTCGTCGTTGCAGTCTTTGCTGTCATAGCAGCAATAGCATGAGATGCTTTCCTCACAGATGTTTTGATGCAAACATCGATGAAAGGCATTATAAGGAACCTTGACAGATTCATGTTGCGTAATGAGTCAGAGCGATTTCAGATCCAGCTTAACAAATGAAACTCGCCCGAAATTGACACAATCTCATGGTCCCGTTTTTGGTTCAATAGTGTGATGCGATCAGCAGTCCATGGTGGGTATGTGGACAGGATTTTGCGGCATTTTTCTAGGACACGTATTCGAACACCTGGTGTGGTATGCAGGTAGTCAAGGACTCCCTAAATAAGGTTGTCAGGATTTAACATGGTTCGCGGTAAAGTGAGGTCAGCAAACAATCCTTATCATCCGTAGTTAGTTATTGGACTCTATGCAGCTCTTCCCAAAAAAGTTCGCGAAGGTACAAAGGGAGAGGACAGGCTAATCAGTTCATTATTCTTAGTGTAGTTCCTAATTTAGACACAGTTTGTAGGCATTGGCAAGGGACAAGCTGCAAGAGATCGGGTCGAAATCAAGCGGATTGGACAACGATCCCTCAGTAACATCAAGTGTCTGAGTTTTGACCATGGATAGCACATAATTTATGTCACATTTTTCAGGGAACTCGAGAATCGGGAGGACTGTTATAGAAGATCTCGAAGAAAGTTGTCATTCTCGTAGTGCACATCCCAGATCTTGACATCTGGCATAGTTCTTTTCCATTAATCTGCGCCGATATATTCATGCATACAACTCAGTCTAGATAAACGACGGCATTTAAGGGCATGCTATCAAGCTTTTCTTAAGTGCTTTTTTCCACTTGTCGGTGTGTTCGTTCCAGGTTACTGTAAAGTGTTGAACGCTGTTCTTGCTTGTGTTTCAAATGCTGATACATTTTATATACATACTGAATATAGCTCAGTTTGCTTGTAATTGTTCCTGGGTGTTTCGTCAAAAACGGTAGGTCTTGGATGTTTTAATCTTTGCCCTGTTGCTCCGTTGAGGTTTTTTTACTTTACGCTGCGCACCGGCGTCTCTGCTCACTTATCTACCGAGTATCCTTAAGCTCTCTGTCCGCTGCCAGCACTAGCCACGCTTAGCCCCGCCTAGCCCCTGACGTAAGTTATGTCGTTCCCGCGAACTAACGAACTACGGCTTACTAACCTCATAAACGGAGAGAGGTAAGGAAGGCCAGTACGTGAATAAAGTTAATATTCAAAATGTGCAACGACCTGACCAGAGAGCATGCAAGCGGCGCGAAGCTTACAAGCGGCGGTGTCCTCGTCACGTTAAAACAAATGCTACAGTAAAACAAACGTGACAAGATTGTCAAAGGTCAAGTAGTCAAGTACTTCAGCACAGTACCCCCTCCGAGATCGGAGGGCGGCGTGAACGACGCCGGAGGACATACAAAGGTCTAGGAGAAATGAGTAACTAGACGATCGGGAAAGTGAACGTGACGTCCACTGCGGGTGATATATGCGGGAGGCACTGTTGGAGGCATCTGAGTAGGTGTTGTAGTTGACAAGTTAAGGGTGGAGGAAGAGGTTGAAGTTTGATGCTGCGAACAAGAAGGAAGAGGAAGTATACGGGACGGAGGGATAGGTGGGGAAAGTGTAAAAGGAGTGGGAGGAAGTATGGGGTCAGCACATGCTTGTCCTTGAGACACGTCCGGGGGCTCCTCTGCAACAGCAGCCTTGACCCGGTCGATGCTGACTACGTCCTCTTTGTCACCTCGCAGGATCCGAAAGGTCTTGCTGTTACGTGCAAGCACACGGAACGGTCCTTCGTATGGTGATTCTAACGGCTTCCGCACACGATCACACCGAACGAGCACATGGGTGCAGTTGGCTAAGCCTTTTTCAAAATAAGGCTCGGTCGATGGAGCTCGAGGTGGAACCGGGGAAAGAGAGCGCATGAATGGTCGCAGACGATGCACAAAATTTTCGGGGATCTCTTCGGCACAACGAGAGGTTGGGGTGACCACCGCACCAGGGAGTCGGAGTGCAGTGCCGAAAACCAATTCGGCTGCGCTGCAGTCCAAGTCTGACTTCAGTGCCGCACGAATGCCAAGAAGTGCAACGAGTACATTGTCTGACCAGTTTTCGGGATCTTCTGCGGCACGCAGTGCAGTTTTTAGCTGGCGGTGGAAACGCTCATCCATGCCGTTGGCAGCTGAGTGGTAGGCCGTCGTCCGAATACATGTGCAGCCAAGGAAGTTGAGGAGAGTTTGGAAAATCGTGGACTCAAACTGCGCGCCTTTATCAGTCGTAATCATGGATGACGCACCGAATATGGCTACCCAACGACTGACGAAGGCTTTCACGGTGGTCTCAGCTTGCACATTCGGTAAAGGAATGGCTTCCGGCCAACGGGTATAGCGATCAACGCAGAGAAGGTGAGTATAACCATTGGATGGAGGTAAAGGACCTACGACATCTAAGTGCATATGGTTGAACTGTGCATCGGGGCTGGGGAACGTGCCCGTTGGAGACTTGTTGTGGCGTTGAACCTTGTTACGTTGACAGCAAAGGCACGATCGTGTCCAAGCTTTCACATCCTTGTTCAACCCACGCCATACGAACCTTTCCGCGAGGAGCTTCTGTGAGGCTCGAATCCCAGGATGGGAGAGTCCGTGGAGAGTTTGAAAAACAGCTCGACGCATCGAAGCAGGCACATAAGGGCGATGAAAAGGAGTCGATACGTCACAAAGGATTGTGCCAGTGCCGGTGGTCAATGGGACGTCAACTAATTGAAGACTGTCAACAGACTCGTCGCCAGGGCATCCAACACGTCGTTGTTCAGCCGCCATAGCACCAAGATCAATCCCGTGTAAGAGGTGAAACGCCGAGAGGGAAGGTCTGGACAGCATGTCGGCCACCGCATTCTTCGGGTCATCAATGTGGCGGATGTCGGTGGTGAATTGCGAGATGTAATCCAAATGAGCAATCTCTCTCGGTTTATATTTGTCAGAATGGGATCGGATGGCAAATGTAAGTGGTTTGTGGTCTGTGAAAATTGTGAAGTCACGGATGGCCTCAACCTTGGAAGAGAGGGGACGCAAACCTTGTGCATCGACATGGTGACCAAGAAAATCAAGGGACGGCACACCCAGAACACACTTCGAAGGGTTAATGGCCACGCCAAACTGATCGAGGCGGTCAAACACTAAGGCAAGATGCACTTTGTGTTCCTCGGCATTTCGACTGGCCACCAAGAGGTCATCGATGTAAGCGTACACAAACGGAAGACCACGTAGGACTCGGTCAATTAACCTCTGAAATGTTTGGGCAGCATTGCGAAGACCAAATGGCATGCGAATAACTTCGAACAGGCCGAATGGTGTGCTGACGGCAGTTTTGGGAACATCCTCAGGAGCGACAGGAATCTGATGGAAGGCCCGAACAAGGTCAATCTTCGAGAAAACCGATTTGCCGAAAAGAGCTCCAGCAAAATCTTGAAGATGAGGGACGGGATAACGATCCGGTACGGTCGCATTGTTGAGGGCGCGATAGTCACCACAGGGTCGCCAGTCGTCTGATGTCGCCTTGGGCACCATATGCAGAGGGGACGCCCATGGACTCTCGGACGGCCGAATTATGCCCAGTTGCAGCATGTGCTCAAATTCGGCCTTCACCGCTTGCAGACGAAACGGAGTCAGTCGTCTAGGCCGTACAAATACTGGGGGCCAGAGGTGCGAATGTGGTTGACAACGTCATGCTGGATCTCACCACTGCGAAACTGGGGTTTGATTATGTTGGGGTGTTGGAGGAGCAGGTCTCGGTATGGGCAAGCAATACCTGTGTCCAGAACAAATAAATTGCAGGAGTCATTAAAGGGTGTAAGACCGCGGACAGAAAGACCAGTTGTACGGTCGAGGAGAAAGGAACGCCGACAGTCAACAAGGAGATCAAACTCAGCTAGGAAGTCGGAACCAAGGATCGCATGAGGCACATCGGCAATCACAAATATCCAGGAGAATGATCGACGTAAACCAATGTTTAGCGTTAGGGAACGACTACCAAATGTGGAAATGGGGGAACAGTTTGCAGCTTGGAGATGTAGACCAGGGCTGGGACAGCGACGGTCAACTGAAGGTGGGAGAACCACGCTGATCTGGGCTCCGGTGTCCACCAGGAAACGCCTGCAAATCACATTGTTGCAGACATAAAAGGTGCGACCAGAGCTGGGAGAGCCAGAGAAAATGATCGCGTCTATTCTCTGGCAGGCTGGTTTCCCTGTTTCGATTTAAATGAACAAGGGGAAGAACATTTGCGAGCCGTGGCGGCAAAGTTTGCGTGATACCAACACTAATTGGCTGTGCGAGGTCGCGAATGTGAACGATGACGGCTGGGTGAGCGGCTATAGGTAATGCGAGAAAGCGGTAGTTTTAGGGAGGCTATCTCATTCGCCATAGCCGACATCTGTTGCAGTAACTGCTCGTTAACCGTTGAAGAGGAAGTGGGAATCTGAGCAACGGAAGGTGGCTGGAACCGTTGAACCTCTAACATTCGGTCTGCCATTTCAGCAAGATGTGAAAGTGTAGGGTCTTGCGAGCCGGATGCCAAAATCGTTCGGACATCTGCAGGCAGCCGCTCTATAAACATCTTTTTAACGACTTTCTCGTCGACCTGCATGTCTCCTAAGAGAGGACGCATTCGTCGGAGAAGTTCTGAGGGCTTCCGTTCGTCCAGTGATTCCTCTTTGATCAACTAGTGGTAGCGTTGTCGGTCAGATACAGCATTGAGACGAAGGATTTCCGCCTTCAGAGCAGAATAGGGAACGTCTGCAGGAGGTTTCACTAACAAGGGTTGAACTTGTGAGATAATAGGCAGAATAACATTACCGACAAAGACAAGGGTAATGTTATTCTGCCTATGTATCATGCGCCGCTGTGCGGCTGCTGGTTGGGCTCGAGAGAGAGCCCTTAAGGCACAACGGAACGAGCGAGTTCCGTATGAACGATCGGTGAGCGCCCCCTACCATTGTGAGATAATATTGGCAGGGAGAACCTCCACAAGTTTGTGGTATTTCGACAACTCCTTCGTAGTGTTGGCGGAATAAAAGGCTGACTCAATGCGGATAAAATAAAGTTCAGGGGCGTGTTGCCATAAATCATGCAAAGTGAAATGGACGGCATGAACAGACTCGGCAGGAACGTCAGGTTGTTGAGTTGAGGAAGACATAATAAGCAAAATATAGGTAGCACAATATCGTGAAAAGGTAAGCGGGAAATGTAAATGAACTAAAATTTAGCAAATAGATACAGGACGTTAAATCAGTCAGTCAGTGTATTTGAGGGAAATAGGCTTATGCCTTTTGAACTCCCTACTTGAACATAAAAAATCGATAAATTAGCGGAATGTGAAGAAATTATTGCAGGAAGTGTATGCAGGCATTGATTCACATATGACACTGGTCTCATGGCTAAAAAGTCACATAGACCGCTTGGTGCTGTAGCATATGTCCGTCAAGTCTTCATTTAAATGTCGCCACAGATGGAGACATGACGACCGTCTCGGGCAGATTATTCCACGGTTCCACGACACGGTTGGAGAAGAAATATTTTCTCACATTCAATCTACCCTGGGGGTCACGTAGCTTGAAGGGATGTGCCCGGAGGTAAGTTGTTGTGGCAAGTTGGTAAAAGTCATCGCACCGAAGGGCACAAGCCCAGCCACGCACGATACGGAAAGTTTGTATCAAGTCTCTGCGCAGCTGCCTATAACTCAGAGGATAGAGATTAAGGCTAGTTAAGCGAATCTCGTATGGCAGTGCACTCCGACCTCTTATTAATTTCCTTGCTCGCCTCTGCACCGTTTCGAGTAGATTGTAATCCTGATGCGTCCATTGTCTCCAGGCCTAAATTGCGTATTCGAGATGTGGCCTTACAAACGTGCCGAAGACTTTGGAGAAGCAGTCTTCATCGAAAATTGTGAATGCCTGCTTGATGGCATATAGCATTGAAGTTGCGGCCTTGGCCGCCTTACAACATTGTGTATAAGGCTTTAGGCTGTCTGCAACCCTGACTCTGAGATCTTTCTGCGTTTCTGCATCTCGAAGTGGTATTCCGTTCAGATGGTATTGCTGCGTACTAGGGGTCTGATTTCCGAGGCGCAGTATAGTACATTTGTTCAAATTGAGGGACAAGAACCATCTGTGGGACCACTCGTCCAATCGACAAAGATTTTCTCGGAAGTTGGTCTCATCGGCAGCATTCTGGATGACTTACCAAATTTTTATGTCATCCGCAAACATGGCACTATCACAGTCCAACCCAGATACACAATCATTGATGAACAAGAGAAAGAGGGTTGGTCCGAGCACTGAACCTTGTGGGACTGCACTCTTTAGGAATGTGCGCCTTGATTGCTGTTGTTCTACGCAGACAATTTGGGAGCGGCCGACGAGGAAGTTCTCGGTCCATTTGAGAAGTTTGCCGCCGATGTCCATAATTCTCAATTTGTGCAGGAAACGCTGGTGCGGAACACTGTCGAACGCCTTCTGGAAATCAATATAGGCCACATGCACAGTGTGTTTTGCTTCGAGTGCTCTTGCCCAACTTTGCATTGTATATAGCAAGTTCGTTACAGATGATCTTCCCCTACGGAAACCATATTGTGCATTGGACAGGAGATTGTGACTTTCCAGATAAGTCATCAACTCCTTTTTGATGATTTTCTCCATCACTTTGAAGCAGATTGATGTCAGACTGACGGGTCTGTAGTTCGTTGCAAGTCATTAAATGTCATTAAATGTTACAGAAGGAAAAAAACTTGAGTCTGTGCTAACGTCGGGAGTCATCAATGACGTAAGTTATGCTGTTCCCGTTCACTTATCTACCGAGTATCCTTAAGCTCTCTGTCCGCTGCCAGCACTAGCCACGCTTAGCCCCGCCTAGCCCCCTCAAAAATGGCGGGGCTAGAGGGGGCTTTGAAGGTGCTTGGCAGGGCTGCATAAGGGGCTGTGGCGGGGCAGTCAATGCGACAGCCCCGCCTGGCCCCACAAACGGAATAAAATTTACAGTAACGCGGGGGCAGCAGAAGATCAAGTTTATTAACGCAAAATGGCCATTTAAATTAATTTAATTTATTAAATGCCAGTTTACAGGCATTGTCAAGGGAAGCGATTAAACACAACAGCCTTTGGACCTAGTCAACCTATCATTAACCCTGCCATCACCAGCCCCGCCTTATCCCCTCAAATATGGGGGGGGGGTCTCGAGGGCGCTATGAAGGGGCTTGGTGAGGCTGTGGAAGGGGCTGTGGCAGGGCGTTTAACGCGACAGCCCCGCCTGGCCCCACCAGCGAAAAAAATGCTCAGGGGACGCCAGATTTCCGCCTACTTCCGGCACTCCTTTTAAATATCGACCTGTATGATGAGTCCTCTGAGACGCACAAACAAAATACCTTCCGGTAGAAGTTTCAGAGCTCAGAATAGGCATCTCTCGTTAGGGGGATTGATTGCCAACTGCTGTCGACTTTGAGGGAAACTCATAATCAGGCTCTTCAGTGGCTTCATAATATGCCTTCATCTGGCGCTTAATGCGCTTGTATATGGTGATTCGGTGATAGCCACAGTAATTACGCTTCATAATTGCTTTGGATATCCAGTAAAAAATGATAAACAATTTGCATAAGTGGACAATGAAAACCAATCCTAGATAGTACATACATAGACATACAGGTCGACAATGTGAACTGGTTGGCGAGTAAATACCAAAACAATTGGCGTAAGATACATAAATTAACTATGACAGTTATTAAGAGCATGAAAACAACGTTGATTGAAGCACGATATTATCCGCGACCCTTGGGCGTAAACGAATTCTTTTTCCGCGATTTATAAGCCACTTTTGATAAATTAGCTCTTTTAATGCCAAATAAGGTACAATGAGTGGTGGTTTGAAACATCACTTTCGATGCAAATACGCTTCAAAATGTTTCAATCCAGAGGGGGCTCTGGTTCCACCTAGCCCCTTCCCAGTGCCGCCTATGAAGGAGGAATGTGCTGGCAGGGTCGGGTTTCGACCCATGTAAATTTTTTGCAGAATTTTATTCTGGCAAATTAATAAATCGGCTTTTTGCTACACATCCCTCCATACCTCACCATGGGAATACATGTATCTGCAGTGTTTGGGCATCCAGTTGAAGCCCGAGCCCGCAGAGCATCGAGGATAGTTGATTCTGCCAGAAATAGTTTACAGTAGTTTAGTGTATTTAAGGATATTGGACAGTGCCTTTAAATACGGCATTCAATTCCATTTAAACGCATTGCCAAAATGCTCTTGACAAAACACATATCCTACATAATGTTATTTTGGAGTCGCGTGACTGCTGTCCGTAGTCGTCTAATATGGCATCGCCTGCATGCGAAAAATGGAGTGAAAGAAATCGAATTGTGTACATGTCACAAGATTTGGGAAAATAGACCTGATCGCAAAAGGATATTTAAATATTTCAGAGACGAATAAGGCTTCACAGTTAACTAACTTGTTTGAAGTTGAATAAATGTCAGCACTAGGTTCAGTCGCCAGAAAAATGTACTTATAAAAGGAGTACCCGAATCAACGGCAGCAGTTCCAAAGGAGAGAGTTAAGCATGACTTAGACCTTCT